GCCGGCGCAGTGAACGCAGAGACTAGGAGTCGGCAAAGGCAGGAGGAAATGTTGTCGATTGAGTGCACGCACATGGAGAAGATGCAATCAAAACGGCGGTGGGGATGTGGTAAAGAGCTTGAGCGGCTTTCGCAGTTCCAGATGAAGACGGCTTCTTCTCTTTCGATCGGAATGGCCGGTGGCGCAAAGGACTTGCGCGTGGAAAGAGAGCGTTGATGGAGCACAGCCTACCAGCTGATGCGCCTGAAGTGTTTCAATAAAGACGCATTAACATTTACCGCTCGGCATTAAACATTCAAATAACATTGAGATTTGATTCATAAGTTTTTCATATTTTAATTCGATGAGATATTGAAAATTCAATATTAATTCTTATAAATTTCAATCTATATAAATATAATTTTTAACAGTAATAAGCTATTAGGCTCCTTCAATCTATATCACTAGCTATAATTTGAGTGATCAAGAAATTAATTTGGAAGAAAATCCGCCTATCACATCAAAACAAAGTGTTTGTGCGATTGCTTCTGTGGCATCGTTAGCTCTAAATCTAAGCGCGCTAATGCATAAGAGTTTTAACTACAGTAATCTCCTTTCTTTCACCGGTTCATCTCTCGACCTCCGTTTTCATCTCTTCAAACTCGATTCTCTATGCAGTGCGGCTTCGGAAGGCGGTGCATTCGCGGTAGCGGCTACGTGCTGCGGAGGGGTTTGGATTCCACATTGAGCGCCTTGCTTAGGGCTTCGATTCACGGATAGTAGCCACCGTTGAGCGATGGAATAAACAGATGACGCCTTCAGCCCTCGCATTCTCTTTAGATCCTAACGACGGATATTACGAGGACAGAGTGTTTCTGATCAGAAATCCTAACACGTAGGGAATATGCAAAACCCAATAATCAGTGAAAGAAGAAGAAGAAGAAAGGAAGGAGATGATGTTTACTTTGGGGATTGTTGCGTCGCGCTTCTTCGGAGTTCAGGAGACACGACCCCGCGGAGATAGGGAAAGAAGATGGAGCGGGTTCGGTGGAGGCTATGTCGCTGTAAGGGCAAGAAAGGAACTTGGGCGGTGCTTTACGGGGAGATTGATGGCTGTACAGTGATTTTTGTAGATACGCATACACTCGTAGAAGATTGGGTTGCTTAAGTAAAGAAAGAAAGTTTGTAAAAAGTTATTCACTTTTTTTTTTTTTCATTGAATTTATTATTTTTATTACATAATTTTTCAAATGTATTTAGACGAGTATAGGTAATTCATAAAAATAAGCAAATTAAAATTTTTAAAAATTCATAATTATAATTATGACTATACAAATATTATTATATCCGACTAATTTAATATTGACTTTCACATTTTAATTTAATTATAATTGTCAAATAAATTAATTGTAATACCTAATATTTAGAGGTTGTCAAAATCGACAAAAGTTGGGTTTTCATTGCGATCGGCAAATATGATTAATCGAATTTGATCGCGTTGAATAAAACATGTTAAAATGTGGACGCCCGAACTCGAATAAAAATGTTAAAATCGAGTTTGGCTGATATTGCCGCCGAACTCGACCGTTTTAATAAATGAGTCCAGAATTTCAAAGCCTGAGTATGGAAGTCATTTGTTAAACATGGTCAACCTGAATTCAAATTTTTTTCTCCATGTGCGATTGGCTGTTGGGTCATTTTTTGACAACTCATATCTAATCTATAATGAATTAAAGATAATTGAATGCTTAATATAGGCAATTTAATTTAAAATAAAACATGTTTGATAATTCTAATAGAATCACAACTCTCTTGGTCTATTGGTTGAAAGCTTAGACTTCCAACTAAGAGGTCCAAGTTGCGAGTCCATGTGTATTCGTTGTGTGTGTGAGTTTGGCTCTAATGGGCCTAAATGGTCCGCAAAAAAAAAAAAAAAATTCCTAATAGAATTTTCTTTATTTATATTTATCATGCTTATTATATTGCATATAATAATTTACATATTCAAACTTATGTTTATTTTTTTCTTTTATGTATTTATGCAAATGTAATAGATTTTTTTAATTTACACATAAAATAATATAATTGTATTTATTTTATTCTTGGCATATTTTAAATTAATATTTTTACCACAAAATAAAAATTATATATATTTGCAAAATTTTCAAAAGTCTATTTATCAGTGACACATATAAGCTGATTTTTTAAATAAATATAATGATTTTAACCATATTAATGTTATAATGACATAATATAAATAAATATGATAAAGCCAAAAAAATTATTGTTAATAATTTAATATATCGATATTTTAATGAATTATATGGCATAATTGAACACTCCTTAATTTTTCATTTACGAGTTGCTGCTAATATTTGTGCTAGCATTTTAGTTGAACTAAATAATTCTTTATTTTTTTTACTGTTTTGGTTTTTATGTGTTTATTTTCATCAATTTATTATAAAATTTTGTGAGTTGGGATAATTTTAATTAAAATTAATAATATTTGTTTGTTGTTGAAAATGTTCATTATTTTTATGTAATTAAATAATATTTGGATTTATGTGTGTATTTATTTATTTAATATTGAAAATTTTATAATAATATTTGTAATTTTAATTTAAATATAATCTCGTATAAATTGCTTCGGCAATGCGACTGCTGTATTTTATACGGGTTGGTTGAATACGGGCCGCATGCGACCGTTGAGAGCAAGTCGAAGCGGAATAATGCTTAAAATGTGGGTAGAACAGCGAAGCGAGCAAGCATTTCAGGCAATGGTTGAAGAACGAGGGGTATAAAATTTAGGGCCACAATGACACACGGAATTCGCAGGGTGAAAGTAATATAATAAAATTGGTTATTTTTTCCCCGAACGTGCCGAGTTTTGAATTTGAACTGGCTGGGTCCGCAAAGCTGCTGATCTTCGCGCGGCGCAATAAGAAGCATGGGTTAGTAAGACATGGTAATAATTATCCGGCGAGTATTATTTTTCTTATTTAAACCTGTTTACTAACCCATGCTTCTTTTGGCCCCGCAAGATCAGAGTTGTGGGACCCAGCAGTTCAAATTCAAAACTCGGCACGTTCGGGGGGAAAAAAATAACCAATTTTATTTATTACTTTCACCCCTCGTGAATTCCGTGTGTCATTGTGGGCCCTAAATTTTATCCCCTCGTTCTTCAACCATTTGCTGAAATGCTTGCTGTTCGCTGTTCTACCCACATTTTAGCATATTCCGCTTCGGCTTGTTCAACGGTCGCATGCGGCCGTATTCACCAACCCGTATAAAACCAGAGTCGCATGCGAAGCAATTTATACGAATTATATTTTAAATTCAAATTACAAATAGTATATAAAATTTCAATATAAATAAATAAATACACAATAAATCCTATTTGCTAGATATTTGAAATATATCCAAAAAGTGATGGGATGTTGTTCGGTTTGTAAAGGAATTAAAAAAATGCATGTACGAGAACCCAAAAAACGGCGGGTCGGGTCGGCGACTTTTCTTAATGCTACGTGTCGCTAAAATATTAGTGGCCGAACGTAGAGGAGCGTACGTTCACCGAACCAAATAATTGTTCGTCATTGTGGGCCCTAAATTTTATCCCCTCGTTATTCAACCATTTGCTGAGATGCTGTTCGCTGTTCTACCCACATTTTAGCATATTCCGCTTCGACTTGTTCAACGGTCGCATGCGGTCGTATTCACAACCCGTATAAAACCAGAGTCGCATGCGAAGCAACTTATACGAATTATATTTTAAATTCAAATTACAAATATTATATAAAATTTCAATATAAATAAATAAATACACACTAAATCCAAATTTATTTAATTACATTAAAAATGATTGAAACATTTTCAAACAAAACGAAATATTATTAATTTTAATTAAATTATCCCAAACTCAAAATTTTATAATAAATTGATGAAAATAAACACTAAAAAAACCAAACAGTAAAAAATAAAGAATTATAGTTAACTAAATGTAGCAAAATATGAGCAACTCGTAATTGAAAAATTAAGAGGTTCAATTATGCTCAATAATCATTAAAATATGATATATTAAATTATTAACAATAATTTTTTAGCTTTATTCAATTTATTTATTTATATTATGTCATTATAACATAATATGGTTAAAATCATTATTTTATTTAAAAAATCAGTTATATGTGTCACTGTAAATAGACTTTTGAAAATTAGTTGCAAATATATATAATTTTTATTTTTGGGTAAAAATATTATTTAAAATATGAAGAATAAAATAAATACAATTCTATTATTTATGTGTAAATTAAACAAAAATTATACATTTGATAAATACATAAAAGAAAAAAATAAACATAGTTTGAATATGTAAATATTATATAAATATAATAAGCATGTAAAATTAAATAAAAGAAATTCTATTAGAATTTTTTTTTTTAAAAAATTTGAATTCAGGTTGACCTGTTTAACAAATGACTCATATTCAGGTTTGAAATTCTGACTCATTTATTAAAACGGTCGAGTTCGGGTTGATCAGCCAACTCGATTTTTAACATTTTTATTCGAGTTCGGGTCCACATTTTTAACATGTTTATTCAACGGATCAAATTCGATTTGATCATATTTGGGTCGAATGAAAACCCAACTTTTTGTCCGATTTTGACACCTCTAATATTAGGTATTACAATTAAATTATTTGACAATATAATTAAATTAAATGTGAAAGTCAATATTAAATTAGTGGATATTAATAATATTTGTATAGTCATAATTATAATTATGAATTTTTAATAATTTAATTTGTTATTTTTTGAATTTACCTATACTCGTCTAATACATTTGAAAAATTATGTAATAAAAATAATAAATTCAATGAAAAAAAAAAAAAGTGAATATCTTTACAAACTTTCTTTCTTTTACTAAGCACCCAATCTTCACGAGTGTATGCGTATCTACAAAAATCACTGTACAGCCATCAATCTCCCGTAAAGCACCGCAAGTTCCTTTCTTGCCCTTACAGCGACATAGCTCACCGAACCCGCTCCTCTTCTTCCCTTCTCCGCGGGGTCTTCTCCTGAACTCCGGAAGAAGGCGACGCAAAATCCCCAAAGTAAACTTCATCTCCTTCCTCTTCTTCTTCTTCTTCTTTCACTGATTAGGGTTTTGCATATTCCCTAACGTGTTAGGATTTCTGATCAGAACACTCTGTCCTCGTAATATCCGTCGTTAGGCATCTAAAGAGAATGCGAGGGCTGGAAGGGTCATCTGTTGATCCATCGTCACACGGTGGCTACTTCCGTGAGATCGAAGCCCTAAGCAAGGCGCTCAATGTGGAATCCAAACCCCTCCGCAGCCGTAGCCGTGCTGTACCGCCTTCCGGAAGCCGCAATGATAGAGAATCGCAGTTGAGAGATGAGAAGGGAGGTGAGGATGAACCGGTGAAAGTAATGAATTACTGTAGCTAAAACTCTTTGCATTTGCGCACTTTAGTTTAGAGCTAAGATGCACAGAAGCAATCGCACAAACAGTTTGTTTTGTGTGATTGAGGCGGATTTTCTTTCAAGTATTTCTTGATCACTCAAATTACATGCTAGGTGATATAGATTGAAGGAGCCCAGTAGCTATACTGTTAAAATTATATTTATATAGATTTGAAATTATAAAGAATGATATGAATTTTCGATATTCTCAATCGAATAAAATATGAAAAACTTATGAATTCAAATTCAATATATGAATGTTTAATGCGAGCTAAATGTTAATGCGTCTTTATTGAACAACTTCAGGGCATGCAGCTGTAGGCTGTGCTCCATCACGCTCTCTTTCCACCGGCAAGTCCTTTGCGCCACCGGATTCCGATCGAAAGGAGAAGAAGCCGTCTTCTCTGTGGAACTGGAAGCCGCTCAAAGCTCTTTCCCACATCCGCCACCGCCGTTTTGATTGCATCTTCTCCATGTGCGTGCACTCAATCGACAACATTCCTCCTGCCCTTGCCGACTCCAGTCTCTGCGTTCACTGGCGCCGGGCGGCAGTCGATTCTGGCTCTACCCGTACTCGCCCTGCAGTTGTTCACCGTGCCGCGGCCAAGTTTGATGAGTCGCTTACTTATAACTGTTCTGTGTATGGAAGCCGGAGCCGAGCGCAGGGCTCTGCTAAATATGAAGCGAAGCATTTTCTTATCTATGTTACGGTGGTTGGTTCTCCAGGTCTCGACCTTGGCAAGCACAAGGTTGATCTCACGAGGTTGCTGCCGCTTAATCTGCAGGAGCTTGAGGAAGGGAAGAGTTCTGGAAACTGGAGCACGAGTTTCCGTTTGTCCGGTAAGGCAATTGGGGCTTGTTTGAGTGTTAGTTTTGGGTTTTCAGTTGTTGTTGGGGATGAGAAGGTACAGAAACCAGGTGGAGATACGAAAATTTTCGAGGTTTCTGGTGAAAAGGGGGATAGGGCGAACAGAGTTACACGGCTTGGAAGCCTTCCAGCGAAGAATTCTCAGTTTGTTGATGATGTGAAAGCTCTTGGGGAGATCATGGAGAATAAACTTGATGTGGTTCCAGACTCGATTGCTTCAAGGGTAGAGGCTGGGGTAATTGATAAACAGGATAATTCAGCTGAAATGAAATGTTGTGTTCTGCCAGAACCGTGTGATTTGAATATGCTGAAGCGTACAGAGGATGAATTAATGGTGATTGAATGTGAGATGGAGATTACTAAAGAGGATAACATAAATATGACTGCTAAAAGGCTGGATTCTGAGAGGGCCGTGATGCAGGATTTCTCTGAGATTGAAGTGATTAAAGGGGAGGCAAATCAAAAGGAAGATGAGAACTCTTATTGTCATCAAATGACTGGAGAGCTAGCCACTTTACTTGAAGAGTCTACTTTGAAGAATGATGAGTCAACCTTCTTTGGCATCTCATTTGACGAACTAGAAGAAATGGGGTATCCAGAACTAAAAGCAGAAACCTCTGAAAATTTGAGTTTTGATGACGTTGAGCTGAAGCAAAAAGCAGCAAGTATGAAGAGCCCCTCCTGCAGTTTGGATGATCTGACAGAAGAAGTTGCTAGTGAATTCTTGAGCATGCTAGATGTGGAGCATGGTTCTACAGATTTGAGTTCTGAGGGTGATCCAGAGTCGCCAAGGGAACAGCTCTGGAAACAGTTCAGGAGGGAATCTCTGGGTCATGGTTGTGGTATGTTTGGTTTTGACGTTGAAGTTGATGAGGAAATAAATTGGGTTAATAGTTCAGAAGGTTTTGATTTTTCCTCAACTGTTTATGACGCTGATTCAGAGAATAAAAAACCATCCCAATCAATGGAAAGTAAATCAATGGCTCGAGTACTTGAGGATGCCGAAACTGAGGCTTTGTTGCGTGAATGGGGCTTGAATGAGAAGGTTTTTGACAGCTCTCCGCCTGGAAGCAGGAATGGATTTGGTAGTCCCATTGATCTTCCACCTGAGGAACCTCCCGAGTTACCACCTCTTGGTGAGAACTTGGGGTGTTTTGTTCAGACAAAAGATGGTGGGTTTCTGCGCTCAATGAGCCCAAACTTGTTTAAAGATTCTAAGAGTAATGGAAGCCTGATCATGCAGGTTTCAAAGCCTGTAGTTCTGCCTGCAGAAATGGGTTCTGATAACATGGAAGTATTGCAACACTTGGCTTCCATTGGAGTTGAGAAGCTATCAATGCAAGCTAGTAAGTTAATGCCCTTAGAAGAAATTACTGGTAATTTCATGCAACAACTTGCATGGCATTCTGTACCTGATACGGAAACATTTCAAAGGTTTTCTCGCTTCCTAAAAATCATTGTGCTACTTCACTCTCCTCAAATTGGCTTAATTATAATTTATTGTTTTTGGTGTTTCCACCCCATGCAGGCAGGGTTCACATCAGAACCATGAAGATGATTCTCTCTTTAATCGAAATGGTCCCGGAGCAACAGATAGGGGTGGAGAATCAAACTGTGATTATGTGTCATTGGAAGATCTTGCACCATTAGCAATGGACAAAATTGAAGCTCTGTCAATGGAAGGTCTCAAGATACAGTCTGGCATGTCTGATGAAGAGGTACCTACAAATATCACTAAACAAGTTGTTGGTGAGATTTCAAATTTTGATCGAAAAGAAGTCCGGAATCTTACATCCTTAGGCCTAGAAGGTGCTGTAGGATTACACCTTCTTGATGTTAAAGATAATGAGGATGACGTTGACGGTCTGATGGGTTTGTCAATTTCTTTGGATGAGTGGATGCAGCTAGATATGGGAATAGTAGAAGAAGAATATGAGCTTAGTGATCGTACATCAAAGATTCTTGCTGCCCATCATGCTAAACCTACTGAATTTTCGAGCAGAGGCCGGAAAGATGATAAAAAAGGAAAAATCTCAGGTAGGAGGTGGGGTTTATTGGAAAACAATTTCACAGTGGCACTAATGGTGCAGCTTCGTGATCCCTTTCGCAATTATGAGCCCGTTGGGACCCCAATGCTTGCTTTAATTCAAGTGGAGCGCGTTTTTATCCCTCCTAAACCTAAAATTTACTGCACAGTTTCAGGTACGACCAAGTCTGAACAAGAGAATGAGTCTGATACTGAGAAGGAACCTGTTCTGAAACTAGAAAAGGAAAATGTTGTCGATGTAATTCCTCAGTTTAAAGTCGCTGAAGTTCACGTAGCCGGTTTGAAGGCTGAACCTGAAAAGAAAAAGCATTGGGGCAATTCGATTCAGCAACATTCTGGTTCTCGATGGTTGCTTGCAAATGGGATGGGGAAGCATAGCAAGCATCCACTCATGAAGTCAAATGCAAGCAACAAAACATCACAATTGACCACAAAAACTCAGCCTGATGAAACTCTTTGGAGTATTTCTTCACGAATTCACGGTAATGGATCCAAATGGAATGAGGTACCAGCATCTAAACCTCACAAAAGGAGTTCAAACTTTTTGTTTTTCAGATAAGGTTGATAGATCTGTGGAGATTTTCCTATGTCTGGAACGACTTGTTTTAGTTGCTTCACAATAAACTTAACTTTTCTTTTTTGTTTCTTTTTTAACTGATATGGGATATTTCTCAAAGTTAAATTCTGATGTTAATATTATTTGAAGTGCTGTTCTATGAGCAAAGGCCATATAACATAATAAACTTAATAGGTAATGTGAAAAGTTTTGACTTTGGATTCTTACCATTTGTTTGAAATTGTGGGCTTTGCTATCAACATGTTTGCATGCACTATAATTACTTGTGTACTTGTATATTCAATTGATATTTTAGTATTCTCTTTTATAGTTATGTTAGGACCCACCCTTTTTCTGCTTTGTTCCTCACATGGCCAGTTCTGATCCTTTATCTGTACAGTATTAGTGGTATTTTAGGCAAGCATTAGTGTGATAATTATAGGTTCCATATTATGAATTATTGTATTACATAATTAATCTTTTTTTTTCCATCGTTATTATATGATTGATCTGTATTTTAGAGTTATTTGTTGTAGCAGAAGAGTCCAAATACTCTCTTTTGAAAGAACCAATGGAAACTATTTAATCTAAAAGAATTAAAAGTAGACCATGCAGAGCTATGAAATAGGAATAATGAAACAACCATAGCTCTTTGGATAAGGCATAATTAGAATAGTTAATATATTATATTTAATTAATATTAGTAAGTATAAAATTATCAAAATGGATAAAACTAAAATATTAAATTACCTTAATGATGGGAACCCATCTTTCTACCCCAAATGCCCATCCCCGAAATTTAGAAACCCTCGACGATGAAAAAGTAAAGAAGTTGTGAGAGGAGCTCGTCGGAGAAGGTATCAATGTGATCAGTGGCGTGTTGGTGTGAAAGTACCGGAGGGGTATGCAAAAAACTTGTGGATTTTAAGTTAAATCCAACCAATACCAGGATTTACTAAATCCATAAATTTTAAGGTATAATGAGGTAGAAATGAGAATTAAGATTTTTGGTTAATAAATAATAATTCTAAATTTTATCTATTGCTTCAGCATGAATTTATTTAATCTCTATAACATATTTTTAACATAAATAGTTATTTGTTAATATCCATTGTGTCAATTCTTGTAATACTCAAACTTTTTTTCAAGGTCAATAAAAATCCAATTGATATGTCATTAAAAATCATTTTGATCGGCATGGATTTTGATGTATATTTTAATTGGGAACTTTCAAAATTAAATTCAAAATCATCTGAACTCATATTTCAGCAAACTTATAGTCCAATTGAACATCTTGACGAGACAAATCCAACGACTCAAAACTGGTCCACTCAAAGTCTGAATCAAGTGCCTGAAGGATAAATGGAAACTTTAAAACATTAAGTGGATGGCCAAATTATCTCTAAAATTGGTATGCTTATAATCAAATCGAGCAGCTCGACGAGAAAAATTCAACGAGCCAAATATTGCTTAATTTCGGCATCAAGAAGGCATGTAAGTTTTGGAATGAACACTTTATGATTAAGGGAATCAATATGGGTCATTCAATTAAGTGTTTTGGATTTTCTCCATATTTACAGGTGTGTCACTCTAAAAAATTTATAAATAGGCCCACATTATTTATATTGGGAGGGGGAGGATCTTGGATCCTTAGTTTGAGATTTAAGAGAACTTTGAGGCTCTAAGGATCCTGAAGCACCACCGTTGAGCCATCGTTGTTGAGTCTCCAACCTCTATCGCCCATCGACTACAGTCCTTTGACTACAAACACCCGATTACAATCCTTCTAACCTCTGTCGTCCGATAACTATATTCATCCAACCTATGTCGCCTGCCGACTAATGTCATCCAATCATCGTTGATTGAATATAGTCTCTTCGACCTCCGTCGCTGGCCCACTAGAGTCTTCCGACCTCTGTTGCCTTTCAACTACATTCCTTGGATCGTCATTGCCTGACTGCGAACTGCAAACCACTTATTTTGTCTAAGATCTCCCAACCACTATGCTTGACTATGGTCCTTTAAACCTCAGTTGCCTGTAGACTGTAGTCCTTCGACCTCCGTCGCCTGCTGACTATGGTTCTCCAGCCACTGTCACCCAACTTCATCACCTACTATCACTAACAATGCCAACACATGTCATTACTTATAAAGTCAATGCACATCATTGATGTCAACTCTAACTCTCAATTTCAACATTCATATTTATACTGGATTCCTGGCAAAGGTTTCTTCCAACCTCAACCAACCAATGTGTTCTTTACAATGCATAAATGCTTTTCTTCGTGGAAGATCTTTACTTGTAATCAAATACAAATATTAGCGGAATCATTTTAACATGATCAAACCCAATAGTTTTTCCCTTTCCTCTAGTTTTTCCCATAAAAATTCTGGTGTCTCTTATAATTCTTACTCTTCTCTCACATTTGTATGTATGTTGGGTTTTTCAGATAAAATTAAGATGTTAAACTCTTTATCACACGTAACACCAATAAAGATCCCTTTTACATTTTTTTTTGTTTGAATAATGGTCTTCTCTTAAAAATCTTTTCCCCAGAAGATCTTAGTATCAACAAATCATTTTTAATGTCAACTTTATTTTTTAAGTGTTTGCTTTATCACCTGCTGTCATAATTTTATTGTATTGTACATAAGTTTAACTTTGTTATTAATTTAAGAATCTTGAATTCGCCTTCTTAAATTGCGTATAATCTAGTTGAACTTGTTATCGTATGGTACCCAACTTGAGACCAGTAATCCTTAACATGCCATAATAGATTTAATATGGTAAGATACACTTTCCAACATATGTTTGCTATAATAGATTTAATATGGCAAAGATACAATCTCCAACATATCTGTTGATAAAAACGAGCATTTAGTACATTTAGTTATAGAATTTGAAAGCATAATGCTCAACTACGGCTCGAGTAAAGATTCAAATACTGACTCCAATTGACTCAAATATATCTCAAAAATCAAAATATAAAATGTTGAAGCAATGAAATGATTTGTTTTCTCTAGCAATGAAGGAAATAACTCTTATGTATTGATGATTAAATTGTCAGGAGGGTTATGTTATTTTTTTAGCATTTTGTTATCAGCTACTCAGATGTGTATGACAACTTCAGTCATATAAATACCACATATGAAGTTAAGAGAAGCATGATAGACTTACATGGGGACTACATTGTTAGACCGGTCCCTAGTGGATAGGTCCAATTACAACCGACCCCTAGGGGACCAGTCCTTGTTTATTGCAGGAGGGGCGGCAACAAAGAGAGAGAGGAGTGGGGTCCACTAAAACTTCAAAGTCAAACTCTTTGGAGGGAAAGGAGGGTGCGACAAGGGCTCCTTAGTCATTTGGCTTGATTAATTAATTGTATGCTTTAAGTAGGATGAGGGAATTAGAGTTAGGGTTATGTTTTGATTATTGTGTTCTTGTTAGAGTTTCTTCTTGGTGTCTTGGGCTCTAGATTCGTCTAGAAATTGGGAGAGAGCGATCATCCTCTCGAATTGAGGATCAATTGTATCTTTGTTTTCGTTATTTTCGGTTTACTTGAAATATTTAAGTATTTCCTTATCATACATATCTTACTAATGGTCTAAAATCAGACACCTAAGAGTTGGGGGCACTCCTCGATAACTTCTCAAATGGTATTCTTCCAATTTAAAACTGTTCTTTAATTGAAATTTTACCTACTTAAATGATCTGTTGCTTATCATACTTATAAAGATCAAGACTTTCATTTTTCAAATTTTTTTACAGGTGATCGATCATGCTTCTTTTTTAATATTTAAATTTGGAGGAGGCTCTTTCTGTTGTTGTTGATTTGGTTATTGATATTACCCCTATTGCTGCTTTGAATGGGACATTTGTTATTATTATTTTTTCCCATCTGAAAACCATTTTCCCTTTTTCCTTTGATTTGAGTTCTACTCTGAATTTTGTTTAAAAAAGCTCTTGCTAATATTTGTTGGTTCATTTTCCATTTTGTTATGTGATTTCTGAGTGAATTTTTGTCACTGTGCATAAAGTCAGTTGATTTTGATTTATTTTAGATTTTATGTTCCTGACATTTTGTTTTGAACTGAAAAAAAAATTATGTCAGAATATGCTGATACTAATTGTTTCAGTGTTTCAGGATAGCAAAATTTTTCTCCTTTGCAGTACTCCATCCAGTATGAGCTTTACCATGAATATCCATTGGATTTTGTTCTTGTAGTTTTATCTTGGCCTATGTATCTTTGAATCACTAATATGAATTACTAATCAAGGCTTCGTTTGGGACAGTTTTTTTTGCTGCTTCTTAAAGAAGTTTTTTTAGTATAAAAATTAAAATTTTTATACTAAAAAGTTGTTTTAAAAAACAGTAAGAAAGTCATCCCAAACGAAACTTAAGTTACTGTTATTTATCATAAGCAGTCTGCCCTTCTACTTATCTTTCTGCAATTATCATTGTTCTTTCTTTAGCAAATCCTCAGTTGTCCTCAATTTTTCTGGCTTAGAAGTTTTAGCATGTAACTATGTATATATATAGATATGATTCAGATTTTGTTTGGGATAATTTTTTTATTATTTTTTAAAGCAATTTTTTAGTACAAATAAAATTGATTTAAAAAGCAATAAGAAAATTATCACAAATAAAAGCTTGTATTTCGCTATGATATGATATTGGTTGCTCTAAGTTTCCAATTGAAGCCTATCTACAAATGATTCCATGCTGCTATAAATTTTGGAATGGGACTTCCACCTGAATGAAAGCAACAAGAAACTTATCTTTGGAATGGTGATTAAGGCTTCATTTTGGATGGTTTTTTTATTGCTTCTTAAACTAGCTTTTTAGTACAAAATTTTTAATTTTTATAGTAAAAAGTTGCTTCAAGAAGCAGTAAAAAGCCGTCCCAAATGACTCCTAAAGCGTTGTTTGGGATAACTTTTTTATTGCTTCTTAAAGTAGCTTTCTAGTACAAAATCAAAGCTTCGTTTGGGATGGCTTTCTTACGGTTTCTTAAACCACCTTTCGAGTACAAAAATTACTAAAAAATTATTTTAATAAGAAGAAAGAAAGCCATCCAAAACGAAGCTTAAATTTTTTATACTAGAAAGCTGATTTAAGACAGTAAAAAATTCATCCCAAACGAAGCCTAAATTATCATATTGGTTAATACCTGAATTGATATTGATTTTTGCTGTTAGTAAACTTTGTTTAATTCTTTTTTTTTCTTTTGTTCAAACCAATCTCTTTAAAATTCTTTTTGGGGATAAGATGAGCACTCAAACTCAGTCCATTAAGATTCTTCAACTTATTTCCAACAAGTGGGCTTTGGAAAAAATATATGCTTCTTTGTATTGATTAAGTATGAATAAGTTTGTAGTATACTCAATTTTTAATTTAGTAAGATTTATTCTCTTTTTTTTTCAATTTATTTGTAATCTTTTTTTGAAAATCCTTTTTTTTTCCTTATTATATAATAATATAATTGAGCTTAACTAATATTACATTTTTTAAATTCATTGCTTATTGCCAATTCTATTATATCCTTTCAGATTGGAATTATAGTTTATTGTGGATAATTCTTTCCATATTGCTATTTTAGTCCATAATTTTGATTTCATATTCAGCAGTTTATAATTTTAATTATATTTATCATAATTTTAATATGTGCAGATTAATTTATGTCTCTAAAGAAGATATTTCTTATATTGAAATTTAATTAGCAGACACTTGAATTAATAAATTTGATTTTGTTGGTTGTTGAATTCAGAAATATAAGAAGCTATCGAGGGTTCAAACATTGTTGCATTTGAGTTTATAGAAGTTTTACAATTTTTTATTGGAAAATTTACATACATACCACTTTATATCATCCTATTTACATATCTAACACCTAAAATTTTAATATTATATACATACTCTATATTATTTTAATATCAAATATGGCACTCATATTTTCTTCCTACCACTCATATATTTCATTTCTATCGCTCATATTTGATATGAAAATGAACTATATATGGGTGGTATGTATGTAATATTAAAATTTTAGGTGTTAAATATGTAAATAGAATAGTATAGAGTGGTATGTATGTAAATCTCCCTTTTTTATTTTGGAAATATTGAGGGCTTGGCCCAAAAAGTTTTACAAATTTTGATGTTAGCAACTATAGGTAGGGTTCTTTCAAGCAAATTTCTTGCATTTTAGGTATAGGGATTGCAATATATTATTTTCTTTCTCTATCCAATTCTTTCACCATATGTTTTAGTGTTAGACTTGCAATATGAATGATTCCTTTTAGTTTTGAAAAAAAAAAATTGTTTTAGAGTTAGTAATGTATGGTGCTAAAATATGTTAATGAGAAAGTAATGAGGGGGTTCAATGTGAATGTTGAATTGCATAAATCTTTGAAATAATTTAATTTTGAAGAATAAAGTTGTTAAAGTTGGCCTTGTAAATTATATAAGTATTTGTTTGTAACATATTATATAAACATTAATAATTATTTATATGTATTGCATTTTATTAATAGTTTGTAACATATTAGTCAAATGTAGATGCATTTTTTATTAAAAAAATCATTAATTAAATTATATTTGAAGTTCTAGGTCCATTTTATTTTATTTTATTTATTTTAATTCATAAACTCATATCTGATTTAATGATCACTATTTTAAAAATTAGATCGGAACGGTCGGTCTGACCGGTTTAACCGTGAACCGGTCTTATGGCCAGTCCGATTCATCCTAAAAAATCGTCTCTGCATCGAACTAGCCAGAGCCAGGCAAAATCATCGGTTTCGTGATGTTTCTAAAATTAGTATAAGATTTCGTAGAGATGATAACTTCTAACGTGAAAAAAAAAATCCTATTCACAATATTAAAAACGTAAGATAAAGAAAAACATTATAGAAAATGAATTATTATATTGCTTAGGCATCTTCACTCCAATCTAGCTTCTAAATTGTAACCGGATCCTTAAGGTTATTAAATGCTTTGATGTTTATCACCTTAGTATACATCAATAGTCATAACCTTCTTTCTAAGAGTTTTTGCCAACTTGAAAAGGATCATAGTTAGTAATAAATCCCTCGCTATGTTAATGAAGGGAGAATAATAACAATCGTGATTATCAATTTATCTTTTTAGTTATCAATATTGTATTAACAATCCTGAGGGTTTGTCATATTGGAAGGAAAATGAGTAAAGGGATCGGGGAAAGATCGTAGGTCAAGAACCGATTGGATTAGTTTTGTATAAATTGACGAGTTAAGATTAGGAATAAACATATCTCAATCATTTGATCAAGTGTTCAATAATCCATCCTCTCATCATCGTATTAGGCTAGCTTTGCATAAATATCAAAGATGTAACAAAGCATTCATATTTTCATTCATTTGTGAGATAAAAAAATCAATTATGCCACTCATATGCTCCTCAAAGTTAACAAGATCCTATCACAGAGAGAGAGAGAGAGAGAGAGAGAGAGAGAGAGAGAGAGAGAGAGAGAGAGAGAGAGAGAGAGAGAGAGGATTATAAATGTTGATATATGTTCAACAACTTTGGTGTTGTTGCATTCAAAATTTATAAATTTTAATTAAAATCCTTGATCTACACTTGAAATTTTAACAAAAATTTTAAGTTTTACTTACTCAAAACTAAAAATATTAATTGATTTGCTATCAATTTCATCCAAAATCAATTCAAAATCATCAAAATTGAAGGAAATTTAAAAACTTAATGATAATCAAGACAAGAAAGTTTCTATAATTATCTTGTGAGAATTAGAATGATCCAAAGCATATGTACATCACTAATCAAAGGTGACCCCTCATATTACAATCTGTTCATCATTACTTGATGTGGACATTGGATGCTCAAAGGGTACAATGATATTATTTGTATAATAGGTGTCATGATATCAAAGCATTAATTTATTATTTAACTCTAAGAAAGGCATGTACAATGTGCCCTTAGTTGGCCTACAATCATTTAAAACAAAGCTAGTTTGGACTTTAGGGTTCAATTAGCATGTAAAATAATAATTACATAAACTAAAGCTTAATTAATTACATAATTAAGATAATTAATTAAATCTTAATAAGCTTTTGGAGCTAAGAACATGCCATCATAGCATCTTGAAAAGGTTAGCTAGAGATTACAAGCCTGGACATTTCAAGAAGTGTAGTAATTGCAACTTGTTGACATGTAATACATCAACATCGAACTTCTGCATGTCGAAAACCAAAACTTAGATCATAAAGTCTTTGTAAAATGAGGGTGAAATCTTTGAGCAGTGTCTTATCTACAAACTCAATTTGCTTTCTGAAAATTTACCCCATAACTTAATTTGTTAAAACTCCCTAAAAGAAAGCGAGGGGAGGCCGGGGCACGAATTTTCGGAGCCCACACCATTGCTCTCGTATTTTTATCCTCTTCAATTATCTCTAGTATTAATTGTTTTCTAGTATTAATTGTTTGATATGCAATTAATAATCCATCAACTACATTTCAGATGATTTTGATTGATTCTTGAAATTTTTTTTAAAAATAATTGAAGGATATGCAATATTTGGTATTAAATTATGTATACACGTAGCACACATCAATATTAAACTATAAGTTCAGTGAACATATGCTTTGCCATCTACAGTCGATTAAAGGCTAAATGAAATTTAATTCTATGTTCTAATAATATAAAAGTAAAATAAAATAAATAATAAAAATAACAATAATTGAAGCTTTGCACACGGTGGAGAAAAGCTTGATGTTTGTTGATGTTTGTTGATGTTATTGCTATAAACAATAGCTAAAGCAGTCGACCCCGCGTAGTGGGATAAAAGCTTGATGTTTGTTGATGTTATTGCTATAAACAATAGCTAAAGCTTTATACCCTATAATACTTGCATATGTATTAGTACCACACAACTTCAAGACAATTATTCAACAAAATTTAGACATTTAGATTTTTTTATTTGTCTATTTATCAAGATACAATATCACATTTTGTATGATCGTTGACTTGAAGAGACTTTTACATCATTATGAGTTTAGAATTTTGCTTCTGATCATACGATCGCATTGAAATCATATTAACTTATTTAAGTATTTTAGGTTTCGTTTGGGACAGTTTTTTTTTTTTTTTTAATTATAGTACAAAAATTTTCAGCTCAAAATTTTTTTGTATTAAAAGCTACTTTAAAAATCATTAAGAAAATTATCCCAAATGAAATCTTAATCAAACATAGTATTTAATGCTTGAGGAAGATGGATTCCCTCTATACATC